CACCAGTGTAAAGGAGTATTTCACAGATCACCTGTGTAAGGGAGTACTTAGATGTGACCATCAGTGTAAGGGGACTCTTCTCCCTTGGCCACCAATGTGATTTCCATTCTCATTTGTTTCATTTCATTATTATTACTGAAAATAATTTTGTCATATAGAGCAGCTCTGGGTGTCAAATACACAAAATAAGTCACATTCCTTCTTTTTTTTTTTCATATCTCAACTTACTGTTCACGCTAATGTAGATCCAAAGTCATTATTGGAAAGGCTTCCCTGAGACCCAAAAGGTATTTTAAAGATTCCTCTGTGTTAAAAAGGTTGAGAAATGCTGATCTATAGTGACGTTGTTTCAGATCACTCTTCAATTACAGGAGAAAGAAATCTAAAGCAGATACATTAAGTATTGGCCGGGTTTATTAATATTCAGGTTCTTGCTCTGCATGTTATTATTAGCCTTTGTTTGTGGTAAAGAAGGTGTAATTATTGGTTTTACATCCTTACGGGCTGGAACGAGGGTGCTATTACGTTGAAAAGAACCTTCTGAACCTATTCTGAACTCACTTGAGGAAGTTGATATTGCTGTTGAAGCATTGGGATCTGTTGGAATAGTTTCAAGGGGAGCTCATATGATGCTCAATTTCTGGAATAGGTCTGCGAAATGCTGCTTTTTAATCTCATTTTTTCTGGCCCATTATATGTGCAGTGAAGACCGGGGTGCAGTAGACATGTGCAGTTTGTTTTGTTACAAATCGAAATTTGGATGAAATTTGTGTGATTCGGAGATTTGAATGTATCCGAACCTCTGAATCACAATAGTAACAAATTTCAACAAATCCAAAAAAAATTATAATGAAAATTATTATTATATTATATTATTATTATTATTATTATTATACAGTATTTATAAAGCGCCAATGGTTCGCTCAGCGCTGTACATTACAAAGGGGGACAGAACATGTGACAGAACAATACCAATACAATGCAAAACATGAGGGGATCGAGGGCCCTGCTCTTTCGAGCTTACAATCTAGGAGGGAGGGGATGGTGGCACAGGAGGAGATAGCTGTGGGGGATGGAGTGGTGGGAAGAGTGGAGGAGGTCGGCAGGTTAGCAGGGGGTGGGATAGGCTTCCGTGAAGAGGTGGGTTTTCAGGGTGCGCCTAAAGGAGAGGAAAGTAGGTGATAATCTGATGGGTTGGGGCAGGGAGTTCCAGAGGATGGGTGACACCCTGGAGAAGTCCTGGAGGCGGGCATGGGAGGAGGAGACCAGGGAACTAGAGAGAAGGTCTTGTGAGGAGCGGAGTGTGCGTGTTGGGTGGTACTTGGATATTAGGTCAGTGATGTAGTTCGGGGCAGTATGGTGGACGGCTTTGTACCTCAGTGTTAGGATTTTGAATTTGATCCGTTGCGCAATCGGAAGCCAGTGGAGGGATTGGCAGAGGGGGGTGGCGGAGATGGAGCGGTTGGAAAGGTGAATGAGTCTGGTAGCCGTATTCAGGATGGACTGAAGCAGGGATAGCCAGCGGCGAGGCAGGCCAGTGAGGAGGGAGTTGCAGTAGTCGAGTCGTGATATGATGAGGGAGTGGATGAGCTGTTTAGTGGTTTCTGGGGTTAGGAACGTGCGGATTTTGGCGATGTTGCGGAGGTGGAGTCTGCACGAGTTTGTTAAAGAGGATTTATATAGCGCTAACAGTTTGCTCAGTGCTTTACAATATAGAAAACAAAGAATTAATTTGTATTAATTTGTTTCATTTGGATGACATGATGGGATAGTTTGTTTTTTTGTCACTGTTTGAAGCATACAAAATAACGACATAACAAGTCATCTGAATTGATTCAGATCCATTCATTTTTATTTTAGTGAGCGTAGCATGAATATTCTAATAAGTATTATTTTTTGTATTTGGGTTGAGGCCATTCATTTAATTTGTATGTGCACAGTTCAACAGAGTCAGTTGGGAATGGGGAAATGAATTCAACTTACAGTATTTTCTGGCGTATAAGACTACTTTTTATACTTAAAAATATACCCCAAAAATTGGGGGTCGTCTTACACGCGGGGTATAAAATGTGAACCTTGAGTTTGTTTGGGTCAAGCTGGCTGGATGTGTGGTGATACTGTACATACAGTATACCGTGCTGAGCCAAGCTGGCTCAAAACAAATGTCCCTATAACAGATTAATCTGTCAGCCCGCTGGATGTGCGGTATATACAGTATACTGCACTGAGCCAAGTGGTTTCAAAACGTACCGGTACGTCCCTACTTTAATCAGCCCGCTGGATGCATGTATGTACGGTAGCTGCGGCTACATACAGTATACGCTGGGCCAATCACGGCGAGTGATGTATTCTACTAATGAATACAAAGCCGGCTCGGATTGGCTGAGTCAGAGAGATGGGCTGATGATGTCACAACCTCAGCCAATCCGAGCAGGCTTTGTATTCATTAGTAGAATACATCACTCGCCGTGATTGGCCCAGCGTATACTGTATGTAGCCGCAGCTACCGTACATACACGCATCCAGCGGTCTGATTACCGTAGGGACGTACCGGTACGTTTTGAAACCGCTTGGCTCAGTATACTGTATATACCGCACATCCAGCGGGCTGACAGATTAATCTGTCATAGGAACATTTGCTTTGAGCCAGCTTGGCTCAGCACGGTATACTGTATGTACATTACACACATCCAGCAGGCTGTATATATACTGTATACTGTATGTAGCCGAAGCTACCGTATTACCGCACATCCAGCGGTAACCATCTGATTTGGAATTTGATCCATATGATGACGGTCTTACAAATGTATCACAAGATGTCATTCATGAACTTATGATGTCAGAGGATGAACATGAGGCTTTTGAAGGATTTTAAGTACCGGTAAGTCATAACCATTTCAATAAAAAAATCTGATGTTTTGAAATGGTGTTGCCTCGGAAGGGGGGTAGTCTTATACGGCGAATATATCCCAAAACCTATGTTTTAACTGGAAAATTTGGGGGTCGTCTTATACACCCAGTCGCCCTATACGCCAGAAAATACGGGTAATAACATAACGAATACAGACAATCGTCCGAAATAACAATAGAGGAACAACTTCTGAATATACAAATCAATTCAGAACAATGAATATATACTGTCCAGAAAAAATGAATCATTCTGAAAACATATTCTAACATAAAAATTATTACGAAACAAAATGATTTAGCTGATGCTGAGGTCTCTTGCTGTAATCTGTTTATTAACCACTTGTCCTCCAGAGGATTGCGCGGTCATGCAACGCTGCACCCAAATGACATTTACGTCCTTTTTTTCCCATGAATTGAGCTTTCTTTCGGTGGTATTTGGTTGCCTCTACAGTTTTTTTTTCATTTTTTGCACTATAAAAAAAGAGACTGACAATTTTGAGTAAAAAACAATATTTTTGACTTTTCGCTATTAAACATGTCCAGTAAAAAATTTAAAAAAATCGAATTTCTACATAAATTTAGGCCAAAATGTATTCTGCTCCATGTCCTTGCTAAGAAAAAAAATCTCAATACGTGAAAGTGAATTGGTTTACATGAAAGTTATAGCGTTTACAAAAGGCGGTATATATACTGGGATTTTTAATTTTGTTTTAATTTTTACTACTAATGGCAGAGATCAGCGACTTATAGCGGCACTGCAGCGGGCATTCTGACACTGGGGGGAACTGATTTGTTGTCATTGACATCCCCAGTGACACCAATACAGTGATCAGTGTTCAAAAAAAGCAATGACACTGTACTAATGACACTGGGCAGGAAGGGGTTAACACGAGGGGCGATCAATGGGTTAACTGTGTGCTATGTGCTAGTGCTTCAATGCAAGCACACTGCTTTGGATGGCTGTGCTGTGCACAGTCATCCAAAGCAGTGTGCACAAGCTGACAGGGAGGAGAACTGATTTGTTTACAAACAGTTCTCCTCCCCATCAGAGATACTCGGCAATCACCAGGCGCATGCGAGTGATTACGGGCTGGGACTTGGTGATTGACAGCCAAAGCTGCAAATGGCGGTGCAGGTAGGGCATGTGCGCCCCCTACCAGGAAATGCAAAATCACATTTATATATATATATATATATGTGTGTGTGTGTGATTATGCGAACCCGTGCCGCCCTGTAGAAGAATTTTTGCTATAGGGCCGTCAGGAAGCAGTGTGTTTACTGTTGTGTCTTTGTCTCATTGTTAACTGAGTTGAGTCACCTACTGTTTCTGTCTGTTGGCTGGTCCTCCCGGAGGTTCCTTCATGATGGGATTAGTCTTGTGTCAAATTTACCTTGGTACCTAATCAGTGTGGGATGTTTATCCCAATGTGTAATATTTTTATTTTCTTGTTCATATGGGGACTGCCCCTATTTCTGAAGTGTATAAAAACCTGTATTTCTTTTCAATGAATGAGTTCCTGCTTGCACCTAAGCTTGTGTCGTCTAGTTCGTGGGTGTAATGCCAGCTATAATACTTTGTTCCTGTGTTCCAGTGGCGAGGAAGCAGTACTCTGATGGAAGCACCCAAGTGGTGTGCTACGAAGACTGTCACAGAGCTCAAAGCCTTTATTATTTTAATTACAACAGGTACAGCATATGGTTACTGTATACATACCCTAGACTGTTTTTTTTTTTGCAGGACTATTCTGGGGTTCAAACCAGCGCTTTGTCCTGGGGCTCAGTGCTGGAACATTTGTTTCTTCTATTTTCATCTGGTGATCTAACTAGTAAGTCTGTTGTATTTCAAAAGAACAAGCTCTCTTCCAGATGTATCGGTTTACAGGGATGAGACAAACCACTTACTACTGACAAGGGTGCTTACAACGATCAGCTTTTATTTATTTATGTAAGACCTTTATCCCAAAAGGAAAACAAATGTTTGCTGTAACTGATTATAAAGCTGGAGTTTGGCTTCAGGTTGTTAGTATATTTAAAGTGTTGCTAAACCCAGGACCCTGCATCCACTATATCTGGTCTCCCTGGACCCTGCATTCACTATATCCGGTCTCCCCGGACCCTGCATTCACTATATCTGGTCTCCCCGGACCCTGCATCCACTATATCTGGTCTCCCTGGACCCTGCATTCACTATATCTATATGGTCTCCCCGGACCCTGCATTCACTATATCGGTCTCCCCGGACCCTGCATTCACTATATCTGGTCTCCCTGGACCCTGCATTCACTATATCCTGGTCTCCCCGGACCCTGCATCCACTATATCTGGTCTCCCCGGACCCTGCATTCACTATATCCTGGTCTCCCCGGACCCTGCATTCACTATATCTGGTCTCCCGGACCCTGCATTCACTATATCTGGTCTCCCCGGACCCTGCATTCACTATATCTGGTCTCCCTGGACCCTGCATTCACTATATCTGGTCTCCCCGGACCCTGCATCCACTATATCTGGTCTCCCCGAACCCTGCATTCACTATATCTGGTCTCCCGGACCCTGCATTCACTATATCTGGTCTCCCTGGACCCTGCATTCACTATATCTGGTCTCTCCGGATCCTGCATTCACTATATCGGGTCTCCCCGGACCCTGCATTCACTATATCTGGTCTCTCCTGACCCTGCATTCACTATATCTGGTCTCCCCGGACCCTGCATTCACTATATCTGGTCTTCCACAGTACACAACATGGAAATGCAAATTATTTTAGTAAATATAAACTGCTAAATACATTTTCTCATTGGCAGTTAGCAGTCTTGTGACTTCTATCAGTGTCCCTCTGAGCACTGGTTAAAGCTTGTAGGAGGAGTTTTCATTCTGCTCTGACTGTCCTATGAGGCTGCATGACCCCTGACCCTCTGCACAGTACTGCTTGGCCCTGTGCTGATCGCATGCACAACCCCATAGTAAACAAAAACTCTCTAGCAATAAACACTAAACTGAGCATGCACAGAGTGACTCTTAACCACTTCCAGACCGGACACTTTTACCCCCTTCCTGACCAGGGCAATTTTCAGCTTTTAGCGCTATCACACTTTGAATGACAATTGCGCGGTCATGCAACACTGTACCCAAATGAATTTTTTACCATTTTTTTTAGATAGATAAAGCTTTATTTTGGTGGTATTTATTCACCACTGGGATTTGTATTTTTTTTGCTATGTAAATGAAATGTCCAAAAAATTTTTAAAAAAGTGTTTTTTTTAATAACATTTTGCAAATAAATAATATTTCATCATGAATCTTAGCCAAAATTTATTCCGTTATCTTTTTAGTAAAAAAAAAAAAAATCCAAATTAGTTTATAAGCAAAAATTATAATTTTTAAACATTTTTTTTTTACATTTTTATTTTTTTTTTTTTATATTATTATTATTTATTTTTTTTTTTTTACATACTGTCACCCTAGCAGTACAGTGTCACCATGGTGACACTGTACTACTTGTGAGGGGTGATAAAGATTTTTTTTTTTTTTTTTTTACACTGATTGCTTTTACACCCATATAGGATGTAAAAGCAATCATTTCTCTTTCTCTCTGTGTACATTCCTGCACTCATTGAGAAATACAGAGTGAGCTGTGATTGGTCACAGCTTGTCACATGGTACAAGGCTTTTGTGAATAGCCTTGTACCATGTGACCTCTGTGATCATTCACAGATTTCACACATAGTAAGCAATGATGTCAGAAGTAAACAGATCAAAAAGAATATATACGAGCGCATCTATAGAATAGCAGCTGAACATTAGGTACCATACACCCTCAAAACAATATAGATCAAAAGATGCAGCGCTATAGAACCAGAACGTTATATAAAATGAATGAATCAAATCAATAAATCAATATTGGATAACTGAACAAAAGCAACAGTTCATAGAATAAGGTGACTTTAGTGCTCTCCTCTATTTCGTATCCTCCTGATGATCAGGCGTTGTGCAAAATAGTGCTGAAGAAGTGCCCACTCACCAGAACGCACAGGTAAATGAGCGTTTTTCAATATAGATTCCCCTTAGAATCATCAGCTGGACAGGATGTGGTGGTATGACAGCCTCCTTCCAGAGCTCCTAGATATTCCTGTGTGGTCCCTTGATAGGTGACCTGCGGACTTCTCCTTAAAGCTTGTATGCGTTTTCTTACCCATACGCATACAAGCTTTAAGGAGAAGTCCGCAGGTCACCTATCAAGGGACCACACAGGAATATCTAGGAGCTCTGGAAGGAGGCTGTCATACCACCACATCCTGTCCAGCTGATGATTCTAAGGGGAATCTATATTGAAAAACGCTCATTTACCTGTGCGTTCTGGTGAGTGTGCACTTCTTCAGCACTATTTTGCACAACGCCTGATCATCAGGAGGATACGAAATAGAGGAGAGCACTAAAGTCACCTTATTCTATGAACTGTTGCTTTTGTTCAGTTATCCAATATTGATTTATTGATTTGATTCATTCATTTTATTATAACGTTCTGGTTCTATAGCGCTGCATCTTTTGATCTATAATGATGTCAGAAGTGACATCTTGCTTACTACTTTGCATGTGATCACTGATTGGCCAATCAGTGATCACATGATCGGGACCTCGTACAGAGGTCCCGTCCGGCGATCGGTGTTTCACTGTGTCCGGAGGACACAGCGGGCACCGGATCGCGGTGCTGCGCGCGCTCCCAGGGAGCGCGCACAAGCAGGGTGCGGGGAGGCCGTTTATAGACGGCCACCCGACCCTGCAGTGCCACCGTCCGACCGTTTATATACAACGGCCGGCCGGTCGGGAAGTGGTTAAATCTCTGTACTATCAGCAGATGGATTGGGGGCAGTAGAAGAAGGGGAGCATCAGAGAAGACAGGATCAAACAGCCTTTTTACACAATGCGGAGGATTAACCCATCCGATTCCACAGGGAGTATAAGAAGCATGCTTTACTGCCTATACAGACTGATTTTACTGATATGGGTTTAGTAACACTTTAAATCTGCTAGTACATTACACTCCCCTCCCTGACTGACAGTGTTGCTATAGTCAGTGCCTCTGTGCTCCTTTATCCAGAGTTGCGGCACTCTAATACAGGAAGTGTGTTACTAGCTTGATCACCAGGTAAAAACAAAGGGAAAAAAAGCCTAAAAAAAAACTAATGCAGCCACCACATCGAAGGATAAGTAACCTGCAATATATTACAGTTTTGGTTTTGGGTTTAATGTCAATTTAAATTGGCCAAAAAAAGGGAACTCCAAATTTTCCATGATACTGAAGGTCAGGCACAGCTGTTTCTAAGTAGTCGGCAATATTGTGCTTCCTTTTTCACATTTGTTCACTATTCGAGGTATTGCTGTGTCCTACAATTCTTAGAAGAAATCCCGCATGTTCAAAAAACTGCTCTACCAATCAAATCTTTTACCTTTCAATACTGCTTAGCCATCAGGCTGAAACTTTAACCTTCAAGGACAACAGGCTCAGTGTAGCTAAAGCAAAGTTATACTACAAGTAGTTTTGTGCTTTTTGGTGCTTCCTCTGTATAGCATATATTAATGGGTGTAAATAAAGATTAAGGGGTCCCTCAGCAAAATTTCCCCTGCTGTCATTGATCTTAACATGAAGTATGTCTACGTAGCCAGGTGTTTGGCTAAGCATAGAGAGTGAGAGAAACACTGGCTGCAGCTGCTTTCTGTAGTGCAGTGCTGAACTGGTTAGCAGCTACAATATACCAACAAGAGGGGGGAGCTGCTCAGCACGACTAGTTCAATGGACAGAATCAAGCAGCACTGCACTGTGGGAACTGGAGCGGGGGGGGGGGGGGGGGACTGACCATTTAGAAACTCGGGCACTGCCCGAGGGCCCGGAGTCAGTAGGGGACCCCATGAGATGCCCCAGGTACCTTTTTCATAGGCTTTTTTGAGTTTGGGCAAGGATACAGGGGCCCCATGATCCCCTATTGCCCGGGGGCCCCATGAGTTTTCAGTCCGCCCCTGGTCTGGAGTAGAGACTATTGTTCTGTCTCTCCAATCTAAGCATTGAAAGTGTGATCTCTGTAACTTAGTGTTGAGATGAGATAGCGATAACTCCAATCTTAGTTGAATAACACAGGCAGTGACTCGGTCAGATGACACCTTGTAGATCTTGTGAAGTTTATTCCATAAACTGAGAGAATCTTACATGAACATCTGATAGGTCAAAAGATCATAATGTGATCTACTTCATGACATGAGGCTTGAAGCTGAAATGCCTTACTGGAAAAAGGGGTGGGCTATCTATACAGCATTAACTAAACCAAAGGAAAGGGAGGAGCAGAGACAAAATACAAAGAACACTTAAAGGCATATGACAGTCATGTGAAACATGACAACTATGTTGTGGTGATCAAACGCTTTTGAACAACATTCTTGTCATTCTTACTTCTTTCTGTGAAGGAGCCCCGGAGAGTGCACATCGTTGCTGCATAATGGTGGTCAGAGCGGGATCCGGAGTGCTAAGTCCAGATGTGCCGACAGCCAGAGTCACCTGGGTGCAGAGCAAAGAGCGGACTAATCACTGTATGTTACAAGATAATGAGCTGCCATATCACTGGAACTGGTGAGCTGCTGTGGGGATTTACTATCTGCTACTAGAGAGAGAGAGACTGAGCCCTTTAGAAACTGACCATACAACCATCTAGTAGCCTTATTTGCTGCCTGCAGGTGTGAGTGGGACTATTCTCATGTGCTCCAATGGTACATCTGGGCCCCAACGTTAGCCGGTTGAACAGTTACGACTAAACACTGCCCCTTTACAGCTGCTACACAAAGACCTTTATCTATTGCGTATGTTAACCTCCCTGGTGGTATTCCCGAGTGTAGCTCGGGGTAAAGTTTCAGTACTACAAGCGGTGACCCCGAGCTACACTCAGGAATACCCTGCAGTGCTGCTCCGGGATCTCTTCTTTGCTTACCTTGTCCTACACTCCCGCAATGTCCCCCCTGCAATGTCCTCCGGCTGATGCCGGCATCTGTCTTCTGGGTTCCGTTCCCTTCAAGTGTCGGGACGTACGAGGATGGAACTAGTGGGAAATTTGAAAGTTGTAAAAGTGACATTTACTAAATTCACTAAAATCACATAGTAAAACCATTTCACATACATTTTGTCCCGAGTGCTTTGTCCTGCGCCCTGCCTGTATTTTTGCTGTTCTTTCTGCCTGGAAACTGAGAAACGTCCATGGCTTCCAAAAAGCGTCCCTTTAGGTCAAAATCAGTTTTAGACCGGCTAGAGAACAGCGATAGTAAATCAGAACCACTTGCAGAATTGAGTGATAATGATTCGTGGGGGAAATTCGTCATCAGACACTGAAAACAATTTTGCGACTTTGCTCAGTGATGTGTGAACTTGGCGCTATATTTCAAATTTCAGTGTTTTTGGTTTGATTATATTATTGAATTACATTTATTATTATTATATTATTATTTTTTATGATTATTTATTAAAAATTATAATTTATGATTTCGTGTTTCAAATTTTAACCATACCCGGGATGTTTACTAGACTCTT